CTTGTTTTTTTGCTCTCATTAGATATATTAATATCATCTTATATTTCGTTATTAATATTTTCTGATTCTTGATTAGTATCACTATTAAGTATAAAAGAATTATTTGTATTTTGAAATGAAGATATTTATTATTTTTATAAATAATAAAAAAAAAATAAGTTAACAAAAAAAACAAACTTTGCTTTAGCAATAAAAATTTTTTTATTATCCAAAATTCATTTTATCTATTTTAATATAATAAATGATAATCTATAATTAATTATCATTATATATTAGTTGTGATCTATATAAATTAAATTAATTAAATCTGATTTGAATATTGATTTTTTTTTTCTTTTTTCTCGCTTCAGATTTGTTGTTATCATAATTATATCTAAAGAAAACTATATGTCTAGGGCTTCGAAAAATACCAAACCGATATTGAAGTGGTATCGAAATGGTATCGATCTATAATAAATTTAATATATGGGTTGTGACCCACTTATATAAATTTATAGTAAATTGAATATTGAACTGGTATCGAACTGATATCGAAGTGATATCATTAGGAGCCTATGTATGTTCAAAGTTGCTTGTCTCACTTGCTCTGGTTATAAAGATTCTTCTTGAGAGACCATAGCAATACTTCAAGAAAGAGTTAAATTTTGGAGTGTTTGGTATATCATGAAGAAAAAGTCAAAACCTTGCAAGAAGAGATTATCAAGTTGAAAGAAAAAATTATCAAGTTACAGGCTGACTTGAAAAAACTTTCAGACACTCGGACTCTTCACTGTCGCAATAGAGAGTTGGAGTTGGAAAACTTTAATTTAAAAAATAGGATGGCTTGATTGAAGGGACTCCTTCAACTTTTAAAAACTCCTGTCCCTGCTTCTTTCGACTGGTTCTTTTTCATCTTTGAATTCAATTAGAAGTTTGTCTTTTTTGACCTTGATGTTTTGTTCTGTTCAATCTAGCTTAATAAATTCATTACAAGAAATATAGTAGTCATTGAGTATACTTTGTGGGCTGGCTGGTTGTAATGAAAAAGGAGAGCTTAGTGGACTCTCTTTATTATACTATATTTCTTACTTGCTTCTTAGTTTTTAGATTCCTTTCTTCATTCAAGAGTTTAATAATACTTGTATTTGGGCAAGTTAAAGACTGGGCTATCATGATATCTATATTCATGTTGTATAGCCTGGGTGCTATATTTTATACAGTAGCTAAAGAATACCTCAAGATTTCAATGTTTTTTATTAAAAATGTAAAAGTAATAATAATAATAAAATAATAAAGTTTTAATAAAATTAAAAATATTTATGTGAATAAAATGAATATATTATTTGTGCAAAATAAATTAAAAGAATAATATTAATTACTTTGATAATTTCATAAAATGCTATAGCTTCAAACATCATTCTGCTACAATTTTGCACTTCATAACTAATCAGCCTTTAACCAGCATATACTATGGATTCCTAAGAATCAAGATCATCTACAGCTATATAATGGTTTTATGAAATTACTAAAGCAAAATAATAATATTTTTTTTCAAATCATAAAAATAAAGAAGTAAAATGATATGTATGTTATTAATGCTAATAGAGTATGAGAAATAATCAAAGGAATAATGAAGGAATTATAAAAAAGTAAGGATAAAAAGAAGTAAAGTAATTATTAACTTTGCTTTTGTCTTTATAGAATCTTGATGATGCGGTATGGTTTGATCATGATAGGATAAGATCAGTACGTGTATGCTAATGGTTTTGATGATATATGTTAACCATGTCTTTATAGGTCTTGATATGATTTTGTGAGGACGGTTGGTTAGTTCAGCAGTGGTAAGCTTTTCTATAAGCTTTCTTTCTTATCATCTTTATCGGTTAGTGATACTTTTTATCGTCATTATTATCATTACAGTTTCAAAAGAACATACTTTATTGGTAGGATATTGAGATCCGTCAGATAAAACTATATTGATGATAGGATGGACATCGACATAATAGTTGTGAAGGTGATGGTGATAGTGTTCATAATTAATGTTGATGATATATTCTGGTATTTAACCATAAGAAAGCAAGACAATTGTTATAGACTAATCCATTCTTGAGATCATACTCCAACTGGATAATATCATTACAGCTGCTTTATTATTTACATCAACTTCTATCAGCATTTCATTTTCCGAAAAATTCAAGCCATAGCAGAACCTTGATCACTGTAGTTTTTGTACTTTCCCAATCTCTCCTTACCTATCTGATTATCTTGACATTATTGTCGCTTCCATTAGAAATTTTTTTTTTTTAATTGGATAGGTGTTCATTTACTTGTGAGGGTGCAATCATGATCATGATCATGATCATGATTATGATAACATCCCAATGTTCACATTGAAGCTGTCATCTTCTTGAGGTGAGGTAAGCATTCTGTTTATTATATCTGTTTTTTTTGTTTTTGGATGGTTAGTTCTTTCTCTAATCATTCTTGTTTTTTTTTTTTTTTCTTTCCACATCAACACCTTCTTTGCGGTCTTGTCTTGGTATTTCCAATCGTCAGAATGGTATATCTTTCATCAGTCATTTATTACAGTGGAAGCTTGTCAAAGCGATAGACTTTTTTTGCTACTTTGATATCTTTGAGAATATATATACATGCATATATATTCTAGGTGTACTTAACTTTTGTAGACTTCATATGATAAATATTTTTTCTTCGCAATTGTAATCGTGATCTCGATTATGATGACATTTTAGCATTTACATTCTTTCATTTTGATACAATTCTAGTAAATCACAGCGTTTGTGATATCTTCTTCATTTTGTAGTATTTTATCAATAGCTTCTAACTTTTTTTTACCAGTTTTCCCTAGCCCCATGCTCTTGACATTTGATTCGCTATTTGTGGGTTCTCCTTGACCCTTGGCAATATCCATGTTCCTGACTTGGCTACCGGAGTCTTGTCAATAAGTTTGATTCTTTGCCTTTGGTTTTTTTGCCATTTTTTTTTTTACTGAATGGTCCTTTCTTCCTTTTAGGAACTTGTCTCTTGCTTCTTTTGGTGTCATGACTTTTTTTGTGATCATCGGCACTGACGATTTATTGAAAGGTAAACGGTCTCTTTCCTCTCTTTTCTTTTCTTCTTTTATTTTTTATTTTTTTATAATTATTGTTATAATTATTGTTTTAAAGGAAATGGCCAATGCTAATCTATCGTTTTCTTTTTGTACATTAGAGATGTGTCAAATTTCTCGCGATAATATGACATACCGGCCATATCCTCGGAACCAACAACTTGCTACAAGATAAGTATCTTCTTGGCTGTTGAGATGGATAGGGACATATGGTTTCTTTGGGAATAATATAATGTAGTGTTATTCTTATTCATCATTATTTTATTTTTTTTGTATTTAATTTTTTTAGAAGAAGGTACATATACTGCTGATCCTATAATAGTCATTCATTAGGCTTTGCTTTTCTTCTGCGCAAGTTATTCCGAAGCTTCTATTGTTAAATTTGAACTTCTTTTAGGTCAGGATGATGCTTCTTTATCTATTCAGCATATATCAGCAGCCGAATTCTTCGTAGGCATTGTTGTTGAAGTAGAATTGGTTTTTATTTCTCTAATCGTCGTGAACACAACATTGCTTTTGTTACTTTTTGAAGATCGAATTTCCTTGGGGCAATTTTTCAGGGGTGGCAATTAAAGAGTATTCTATTTTTAGGACCTGATTGTCGAATTTATATTTAATGAATGAGATACACCTCATAATCATCACCAATTTGTTATATATTGTTTTACTTCAGGAGAAAGATATAGACAGAAAACTAATAGCAGGGAGACACTTTATATGTATGAACCAATGTGGTATGCTAAAGTTCATAAGGGTGTACTAAAATTAATATAGTTCTAAGATATATAAGGTCAAGCAAAAGAGGCAATGGTGATTTGTTTTATAAAGGTCAAATTATTTTATTAATAAAAAGAAAAGTTCAACCTTGTAATTCCAAGAGGAATTGGAGGCATTTATATATATGTTTTTAATATATAATTGATATATATAATAATAGTATATGTTGGTAAAGATAATAGTTATGGAAGAGATAGTATTTTTATCAAAATAGTCAAATATACTAATATTGGTAAAGATAAATACTCTAATGAAAATAACAAAGTGATAATAGTAAATAAAATTAAAGAATATTCCAAAATAGAAAGAAATAGTTAAGTAGATAAAGTAGGTGAATGTATTACAGTAGATCAATAGTATAGAAATTTTAAAACAAGAAAAAGATATTTCAGGATTAAATATTAATGAATTATTATAAGAGTAGATAAAATATTGAGTAAAGATCAAATGTAACAATATGAAAATCATAAATTGATTGAATCTAATTTGAATCGAGTTTTTAATAATTTTATTTAAAATTAGAATCGAATCAAATCAAATCGAAATCGAATCATTTAAATTTAATTTTTTTAATTTAAAAATCAAATCGAATTGAATCGAATCGAAATTTTATTGTTTAAATTTAAATCAAATCAAATTGTTTAAATTCAATTCTAAATAGAATCGTTCAGATCCTTAGTTATAAGTTTAAAAATTAAAATATAAAATAATTTTAAAATTTTTTATTCTTTATAATTATATTTAAAAAGATTTTAAACTTGTAAATAGCAATCATAGAACATTTTTCTTTCCTTGTTATTACATACGATATAATGTATTATAAAATAACAGTTTGAGTTTTGATTAATGGGAAATGTCCTGTAACTAATAGGTGTTTTGCTAAATTACTTAATTTAATTACACAGTTAATAAATTAAAAATATAAAATAAAAATAAAAAAAAACCACTTACACAAAGTAATAATTATGGTAATAAACACAATATCATGCAAACTAATTCCCCACATTAACGCCACGAACTAACCATCTGTCATTTAGATCATGTGATAATTCCATATCTGGAGACTTTTGTAAATATTGGCGATCCTGAATTCGTTGGGTTCGTAAAAAAAAGAATGGAATATCGCAGGGATTCTTCACGCATTTCCGATGAAGAAGATTCTTTATGGGCCAGAATAAGTAGTAATATGTCAGAACTGGAAAGAATTGAAGACAAGGAAATAGAATTATCCAAAACAATTAATCAACAGCATGAACTAATTCATCAAAGTAAGATAATTATTCTTCGCGTCATGCCTCATGTGCGTGGAATTTTGTCTAATCGATCGATCGATTTACTTCAATAGCCAATTTAATAACTCCGGAAGTTAGGGATAAACTCAAGAACTTGTACAAAAAGGCACAAGAGCAGGTTTCTCATGAAGAAAAGTAAGCATTTAATTTGCATAAGCAAGTATTAATAATTCAACAACAAATTCAATAGTAATTCATTGATTTTATTTATTGAAGTATGACTAATACAATAATTAAAGATATTGATAAATTTCTTGCATTGCAGTCACAAATAAGTAAACAATCTTTAAAGGGTAAATATTCATTCTGATCTGAAAATAATCCTGGACGAGGAAATATAATTTGATTGATGTCATCTGCTCTTTTTAGTCGCAACATCAGCCAATGAAGATAGTATACATAAAAAATCTAAAAAAAGAGATCACGAAACAACTGGTCTAAGTAGTGGGGTGAACAAGCAAATGAAAAAATCCAAGGTGTATGTAATAACTAAGGAAATAATATCCCTCCCGAAAAGAGCTCGTGTACTAACGATATATGCGTGCATGCATGCATTCATTTAATAACAGCGTGTCGAAAAATAATGGAAATATCATCAAGAATGGAACCTTTGTATGCAGATTTTAGATCTATCATCAATGATTATTAGAATTAAAGATATTCTAACGGGTTTACATATATAGGTAGCTGCAAAGCAACCAAAATCCAAAGATCCCGAGGAAAACTGGATTTTGGCAACGGTCGTTGATTACCGAGCTGATACTAAGCAGTGAGTATTCTTAAATAATTTAGAAGTTCTTTTATCATGATGACCTTACATACTTATCCTCTCGCATTGACAAATAGCTATGAAATCGAGGATATAGATAAAGACGAGGCGTTAAACAGGCCCGGAGAGTAAGTCTACTAAAGAGCTTTTTATGCACACAAGGAAACCCGGAACTCATGTAGAATATAACTTGTTTTAGGCGTTTTTCGGTGCCCTCTAAAAATGTTATTGAAATCCCTAATCAAGGAGAAATGCGAATACCAGAATTTCCACAGTCACATACGGTTATTGCTTTGTATCCTAGTACAACATGCTTTTACAAAGCGGTTGTGGTTACGCCCCCTAGCAAGTCAACACCTCGGAATCATTATTTGCTCGCTTTTGAAGATGATGAAGGTGTCCATAGACACGTCGAAGCGCATCATGTCTTAGAAATGCCTGATGATATCAAATGAATGTGATGGTCAAATAGAGAAAACTCATCTTTATAAATAATAGATAATGTTTACTTAAGGTATATGCAATGAATAACTTGACAAATAATAATTGTTGGTTTAATATATAACTGATGAAATTTTAACTAAATGTAGCAGTTTGGATTCTTTTTGAAGATTCCATTAACCGAATTAATAATTTTATTGTCCGTTAATAATAAAATAACGAGCATTCCGACGCCGATCACATAAATACAATGTATTTTGAATTTAAGTTACTTCCAAAATAGAAAGGTTACTATAAGTCAGAATGAGAAGATCGAATCAAAAAATTTGATAAACTCTATGCATATTCAACAAAGTTCGAATGACCTAATACCAGATTTATCAAGTTAACATTATATCATAACGTTCAAAAGTATAATAAGAAAATAATATCCACCTGTTTCTTTAGCATGTTGCACTGCCTCTTTATCCCCTTTTAGCCCTTTTTTACATTGATCGCAACGCAAAGTGAAATCAGCTGTGTATGTATATTTACGCATCTATGTTTAATTAAAGTATTAGAAAAAAAGGACATTTAATTGCAAAATAATTTAAATAAATCAAAATTTAATGATTGTTTACTTGTTTCATTTTATCTGCAATTTCAATAGAAGCCGTCAAAGTAATCTCATCTGACACATCAAAAATTGTTTGATCAAATTCAGGGCCGGCCTCGGTAGTTGGTGTAAAAGCAATGGAATCATAATCTAAATAAGTTTGAAATAAGTTTGATTGATCGACCAATATGCTTGAAAGATACTTCAGACAAAGATACTCACGTATTCCACTAAATTAATAGAGGTAAAAATAAATATATTACACACCACTGAAATAGAAAATCAAGAAAAACCATATTTACAAACAAACCTGTATATTATATACACACATTGACTGTAATTTCCTTGACCTAAAAAAAAAAACACGTCAAAGTTAACACAAAATTACTGACACATGTATAAAAAGTACAGCACCATATCGATCAATTCTTCCGCTTTTAACATCTATACTTCGAATTTCTTGAATATCAAAAACTAGTCAGTATAGAAATGATTATAAAATACTATGAACAGAAAATTTAATCAATAGATAAACAAACTTTACCAACTTTGTAGTGGGATGCAAAAATGGCAAGCTCTAAAATATATTACGTTAACGTCGTGATAATAAAAATAAGTGAGTCTAAAGTTTCTTATTGTCCTACCAATAGCACCACCCCAACTATTTCTTTGCGCTATCCAAGAACAGTACTCGTCGCGAGACCTGCCCAAAACAACGTCAGAATACTTTTCTGAATCCTTTTTAATATGCTCAATGATAACTAGTTTGTAAAGTAAAATGATCTTATTAGTTTGTGTAAATCCATCAAAATATCATGACGAAAATAGTTGATTCTACTCTGTCTAAGATGCTGAGGGTCCTGCGATCTTTCAAGTACATAACTTGAGATTATTGAAAAACGTAAGTATGATCTTCAAGCATAATCTTAATCGAACGAAACAAAATATACCCTATTATTATGTGAATTGCGCGATTGAGTTAAATTTAGATAAATTAGAAGAATTATTCATATAAGTTACTCACCAATTGCACGAAATAGACAAGAATTATCATCATCCATTTCCTAATATAGCATTTCAGTAAACATATAAATGGACAAGATATAAAGTAATAGCTCAGAAGACATACTCTCAGGATAACAAATCCGTTTTCCACACGTATGAATATGGTGTCCTTTGTGGACGAGGTGTTCGCTATAGACTGGCTATCCAATTCTGATAAGGACAGTTCACTGAGAATGATTACTTCTCCATTTTGTATCCCAATTGAAATTAAAGTATCCTGATCTCCTGCTTTACAAACGCGAGGTGGATAGCCTATCTTAACTAGATAATAAGAAGTCAGATGGATATCAAAAAAACATAAAATTTGCATAAGAAAAACGTACGTTCTTGATGCAAAGGCGATATTCCAGTAAGTGTTTGAATTGATTGTTTCAACTCCAAAAATGTTGAAGTATCGGTTAAATTCGTAATAACATGAACTTTATCGCGTTCACGGACTCTTATCCTCATATTTATACTGATAATTCTTAAAAAAATAATAGATCATTGTTATTTATCTCTTTTTACTCATTCGTGTCACTTGAATTTTTTTAAAATAGTAGTATATGGAAAATTATAAATATTAATATTAAAATTAAAAATATTAATATTTAAATTAAAATATCTTATTTTTTTATTTAATAAATTTAATTTAGCATAAAATCGATATAAAATTATAAAATTAATAAATGAATCTATAAGCATTTACTTTACTTAATAAATTTAGATATTAAAGTGATTTTTAATAATTTTATATAATTTATAATTGTAACAATATAAAGTATTTAAATAAATATAAAAATATAATTTTATTTAATCTTAATAGTATATTTATTAAATTATAAAATAAAATATACAGTATATATATAATTTTCATTTAAAAATTTTATTAATACATTGTTTATATAGTGAATTTTATATTAAATATAAGATATATATATTTCATATTTTATTTGTAATATATTTTAATTTGTTTTTATAATTTTTTTTAATTTAATAACTTTTAATTATAATAATATTATATTAAATAAAATAATTTATTTTATTTTATTTTATTTTTTTGCAAATTTAAATATTAAATAAATAATTTTTATTAAATATATACTTATAATTAGTACATCAACAATCTTTTATATTATTTTAATTTAATTGTAATCTATTGCTATAAAATAATTTATTTATTATAAGCCAATCAGCAATCAAAATTAGAACAATTTATTAGAAAACATATCATATTGTCGGCTCCTCTGCCACAAGGTTAAAGTGAATAAAAAGGTATAATGTAATAAGCAACCTTAGGAAATAGTTAGCAGTATTTATTGTCCTTACATAAAAATGGACCGGTAGGTTGGGTGGTTTAAAACTAGCAATAGGATTTCTATTTCCTAGATAGGTCCCTTCAAAAATATATAAAACCCATTCTAAAAGTGGTGTTAATATTACTAAAGTAATAAAGAATAGATAGACTAGTATTTAACTATTGTAATAACAATAGATGATATTTGATATATATGTAAAATTGATGATTATTCAATAAAATTCTTGCATTTAATGCCATTTTACTATAAAAAAAAAAAAAAAAAAGTTTTTATTATTAATTAATTTTTTTAAAAATCAAATTAAAACAATTTTTTTATTTACAAATTGTTTAATAATATTATTTTTGATCAAAAATTTTTTATAAACTTAAATTCAAAAATCATATAAATAAATAATTACTTATTATTATTTAAAAATAAAAAAAAAATTTATTAATCTATTAGGTTTGTAATTATTATAAAACAAATTTCAATTGAATAGATACGTAATATTTTTTTAAACCATTCTATCTATTTGTTTGTTAATAATTAACAAAAAATTTATCATTTAATAAATTTAAAATTGGAATTAAACAAATAATTATTAATAAATTATAAATATAGAAGATATAAAATTTTTAAATAATTTAGCCTTGGGAAATAATTTATTAATTAAAAAAAATCAATGCATTTTGACGACCGTTCACAATACGTCTTTTATTGCCACTAGGCCAATAATATTCGTTTAGTTTCCTCGTCCTTACAACAATCTAACGCGACTCGATCTTTATTATCCCTAATGGTTTCAACATTTTTTCCCTTCAGTATGGAAATGACGTCCTTAGATCCATTTTCGCAGGCCTTGTGTAACGAAGTTTGACCATCAGAGTCTTGCAGCCTGGGATCGGCTCCAAAAGATAACAAGAGATTGACCACATTTAAATGGTTCTTTACAGAAGCTCTATGAAGCGGCTATAAAATCAACAGAAATTTGTTCTAAGAATAGCCTATAATCTCTAGAATTGACAATTAGAAATACAAACGCACTGTTGAAAGTAGCTCAGGAGTCACAGCATTAACATT